GGTTCAAAGTTCAGGAAAAAAGTCGCGGCTTATAGTTCGAAAAAATACGGTACTCATCAGGAACATTGCAAAAATTAGACACGTACCTTCATTTGAAGATGCTGAGTGTTCTCATCCACGCCTTTGTGTCTTCACGCATCGATTACTGCAGTGCTCCTCTCTCTGGGCTACCAAAGAAAAGTTTTAGAGGCCTGCAGATGGTTCAGAATGTGGCTGCTCGCATTCTAACCAAAACAAGGAAATATGAACACATTACTCCGGTACTGTCATCCCTCCACTGGTTGCCCTGTCAGGTTCGAGCAGACTTCAAGGTTTTGCTGCTCACTTATAAGACCTTAAATGGTTTAGTGCCTCCTTACATTTCTGATCTTCTGCACCTGCATGTTCCATCTCGTGCTCTCCGATCTTTTAATAATCCCTAAAGCTAGAAGAAAAACTGTCAGAGGCCGTGCTTTTTCCTTTTGTGCTCCCTCACTGTGGAGCAATCTTTCTCAAGACGTCAGGCTGTTCTGCTCTGTGGAAGTTTTTAAAGCTAAGCTAAAGACCCGCTTGTGCACACTAGCTATGTTTACATGCGCAAAATTCTTTGATCGGATTGAAATGTATTCGGATTAAATAATCTGAATGTATCGTTTACATGGGCGCAATCCGAACTTTACATGCACCAGGTTTTTATTCAGAATAGAAGCACTGACATGCACAGTTGCTAATTTTCCCTAAAAAAAAAAAAAACACGGAACAAACTTCTACTTTCGTCATAAACATAAACAGCTTCTGAGCTCAGAATGGACCTGCGACAGGTTTTGATAATGGTGGAGACGTTMCTGCAGTCTCTGGTTCAGCTGCAGGTGAGGAGCGGACTTTTTTTTTGCGAAGTGGCGCACGCTGGGTGTCTTCATTCTTTATTGAATGAGAAAACAGGAGGAAAAGTTCTGTGCTGCTGAAAACAGCGCTGCTGSTCCTCCCTCCACAAAAGAGCAGAAATCGGTGGATGAAAGTCAGCAGACATGCGCAGTCAGGTCAGTTTTCCACAATCAGAATAAAATGATCAGATTAAGTGTTTACATGCACGCTTTTCAGATTATCAATCGGCATAAACCACCTCTCTCATTCCGATTACAAATTCAGTCAGATTGAGCTGAATCGGATCAGATTAATATGAATGGGGTGTTTACATGACGTATTTTTATTCCCAATGGCTGTTTAATCCAATTACTAATATCCATGTAAATG